TAGTTTTATATATAATGTTAAAATTATTTTGTTGATATATTCGAAATTCTGTTTTTTCATTTTGCGTATCTAATGCTAATTGAAATGCAGTTATAAACATAGTAAGGGAAGTATTTGCATCTAAATAACCTTTCATCATATTATTCATTGACTCGCCACGTTGTGTAGTTGTCATATCTGCTATAAATGTATCATTATTAAAACATGCTGCCCATTTTTCTTTTGTTTTTTCCATGTAAGATAAATAGGTTACTGCTAATAGATAAGACGTTGTAAGTGTATTCCATTAGAAAAGAAAGCTAGAAATATCCATTTCTCCAAGACATTTGTAAAAATCTCTTATAAATGCAGACTAGCTTGTATTAAGCTTTGCGCTTAAGTTTTTCATTATATTTTTTATTAAGTGCCATTGACATAAACGATGTTTTGTGCCTAATGGTTGTAAAACTTTAGAGTAAGCATTTGCTATTGCATGATCGTCATCAGTAAGAATAACTGCAAGTGCATGTTGATTAACTATTTCAAGAAATTTAGTAAAAATCTATAAAAAATTTTCTTCTGTTTCATCAATCATTAATGCCCCAGCAAAACATATACTATATCCATAATTATTTATACCAGTAAAAATACCGAATGGTATTTTAAAATGATTCGTTTTGTAAGTATTATCGTAAACAATTATATCATTGAATCTACTATAATTAATACGTTGTTCAGAAAACATCCATATTGCTCGCTCCAATCTTTTCATATCTTCATTAATATCAATATAATAAAAAAATTTGATATCATTATATTTAAATTGATCTAATATGTTTACAAACTCTTCAGCATCTAATTCTCTTTTTTCTAAACCTAATTCTTCTAAATGATAAATAAAATTATAAAGATCATCATACATCCATGTAACATAATCGCCAAATTCTTCTTTTAATATTGTACATATTGTTGGAACATCTACACCAGCTCGACGTAATAATTCTATCCGCTGTTTGACATTATCAGGAATATTCTGCTTATTAGACATACAAAATCTATGATTTTCTTCGACCATTAGATGATTATGAGTAAGATCTATATTAATAATTTGCCATAACTTTAAGTTATTTAAAGAAGCACAAATATAAAAAGAGCAACCACAGTGTTGAGATACTCGATTTTGTTCTTGTTTTGAAATTTTATTATTAGAGTTAGATTCTTTTGGTTTAGCAAAACTAGCTCGAGAACACAGTAATGTTCTTTTTTGAACAGTCTTTTCTTCATTTTCAGATTTGTTATAACATTCGGACTTTCCAAGTCTAATAGTAAAACCAAGATTATGTGCATAACTTTTAATTTTATTAACAAATTCATCATGATTTTCAAAGTTGTCATTAATTTGTGGTTGATATGATAAAGTAGTTAAGCTTTGATTAGACATCAATACTTATTATTATAAAATATAAATGTACGCATCTAAAAGTAGATTTTTGTAAAAGTAATACAAGTTATATATAGGGTATAGATTAAATAATTTGTACCCTCTAGGTACAGAATAAGATATCTATACCCTCCAGGTATAGGATAAATTATCTATACCCCCAGAACAGATTAAGTTTTCTCTTTTGCAATATAAACAATTTTAAGATAATTGAGTTTAATCATTTGTTTTGATTTTTGGACTGATCCGGGATTAAGCAAATTTCACAATTTTGATTGGTTAAACATAACAGATAACTATCAGATAATCTCATGCTATGCTTGGTCTTAGACAGCTTCATACAATTTTTCTTTTACATTATATCGATTTTTTATTATGCAAATCGTCTTTATTTCTAATTGAAAAATGGCAGTCATGTTAAAATTTACATGAATATAATAAAAACTCATTTTTCAAAAAATTTGCAAAATGGGTCCTTTTAATGTAAAACACCCCATATCTCCGATTCTATGTGACTAATTTTAATAATATTGCTGCTATAAGAACCAGAAAAATATGAGAAACAAGTTCGCTTAGAGTAACAGAAGAGGCTAACTTAGTACAAAAATATTCCGAATCGCATTTCTTATTTTTTTCTTTAAATTAAAAAAATGATCTGACAGGGTTTTTGTAAAAGATTAATCATCTCTATTATTATAAGAAAATTTGTTTTTTTGGCCTTTTCGGCTTCAATTATGGTAGAACCAGAGATATAGGCTTCTGAAGTTTATGTGGTTTTATATAATTCTTTAAAAGTTATTTGAATTTCAGAAGGCCATATCTCTGGCTTTTCTGAACAGATTTTAATAATCTCACTGCCATTAGAACTGGAAAAGCCAGAAGAACAAGTTTGCTTAAGGTGTAAAGAAGATCAAGTTGGTACAAAAAGTCCTGTAGTGTCTAAAAATTGATTATTTTGGTATGTGTTCACAAAATAAATAGTCACGTGACCAGTACTTATCCATAAAAAAATATTATGTGACCGGTACGTGTCCGTAGACTTTCCATTTTTGGGGTCGTCTAAAGCGAAGATAAATCACGTGATCAACTGCCAATCAAATTATAGTATTTTAATAATCACTAGTGACGCAAAGCAAGAAATAAAAACAAAAAACCCTGAAAAATACAAAAAACGGCAATTTAAACCTACCTTATGTAGATTAATCAAAAATGTCAGGAAAGCAATTTTGCATATATATAACTACCTAAAACTTATCCTAAAGTGACCCTAACCATAAACTTGATTAGCAGTTGATCATGTGATTTATCTCTACTTTAGACGTCTCTCTTTTTTAGAGGTCAGGCGAATTCAATATATGATCTATATACTGCATATATTGTATTCTTGATATCTATATAACCTGTTAACCTTAACCATATCAAAAAAGTAACTCTAAACCTTGCTTCACTTTAACCAACCCACTTTTTTGGTTATGTCTTTACGGGTACACTTATGTCCTGCAAATACAGACCCATTCGGATAGGTTAAAACCAATAAATAATAAAGATCTTTGTATAATAAAAATTAAAAAAAACTAACAAACTGCAGCTAACACAAAATTTTACTATAGTACCCTGCTTACTGACTTTAAATAAAAATTTTTAGAATAAAATTTTACATATAAAATTATATTTTTATACAAAAAGCAAATAAAAAGCATCTGTAATATTGAATTATCTAAATTTTGATCGGAGGTCTAGATTTGCAGGACATAAGAACTGCGATCACTTTAAATAATGATTTGAAATTCAAATATATCACCTGAATTTGAATGTGATATTCATAATATCTAAAAATATATTAACCAATAAAAGTATATAAACAAAGTTATAAAGATCTACATGACCAATCCGATCAATTAAAAAATTGAATTTACAAGTAATATTATTAATGTTTACAAGGCAATACATTACTATGACATACTTTGATTTATACATTATTAATTAAACATCACTCATTGCTTATATTTATTTTCATTTAAACTATATTATATTGCTCTATCTAATGAATTCTAAAATACAAGATAGTAAAATCATTACGCAAATGTATTTAGATTTTTTTAAAAATAAATTAATTTTGCAATTTTTATTGCAAACCTTCAATATAATTATTAGTAAAAGCTTTGCTTGTTCTAGAATTTTAAACAATCTTTGAAACTAAGGTTTTGCTAAGCATAAATTTCAAACCATTATCATAAAAAAAAAAGCAAAAGCTTTGTAAAAAGTAAACAGCACTTTAACTATTATTCTAATAAGCAAACTTTTGATATTATTTTAATAAAAGTTTTGTCTATTTCAGGATCTTAAAAAACTATTTTGGGAACTTTGAATCTGTCTTGTTATGAATAAATACAAAATTTCAAACCATTATTAATAAAGAAAAAATGCAAAAATAAATAGCGCCTTAACTATTATTTTAATAAAACAAACCTTTGACATCATTACTAGTAAAAATTTTGTCTATTTTGGAATCTTAAAAACTATTTTGGGATCTTTGATCCTAAGGTTTTGCAATACGTAAATACAAATTTTCAAACTGCTACAATAAAGAAAAAAAAGCAGGGGCTTTGTAAAAGTAAGTACTGTAATACAGTATTGTGATTAGTATTACTAAATAAATCAACCAATTAACATAAGCTAAATTCGAAATTATCACAAATTTTACAAATATGATTGGTACAATTTTGAAGATCTTATCCAAAAATATCACCAAATTTCCAAAATCCACTCATATAACATCCACAATCTATTATATTAAAGTCTATTGTCTGTCTGTCAATACTGGCTAATCAGATCCTTCTATTTGATGATTATCTAATTGCAATTCACATATTCATTATAATGTCCAAGTAAATTATTTGTACTTTTGATAATGTATTATTTCACTAATAAAAAATTGCACAAATTTCATTTTTATCTCTAAACGTAACTTTATTTAATATTCACTGTACAAAAGTATCTCAAAATCATCTTAATCCCAATGAACTTTACTTAGAAGACAAAATATATCTACTGTTTATTGGACAATCTTGAATTAAAGATAAGTGAGAATATTTTGTTCAAGACTGCCTTATTACGTAAACTTTTATTACTAACTATTGAGTTTAAATAAGAATAGGTTTATTGTAAAAGAAGTTCTGAGTTTAATATTTGAATATGTTTGGTTCTTGCATTGTGTTTGTGTCCGTCAGCTATAATAAATTTTGGCTTATAGATTATAAATTATATTAATTGAGTTTGGGTTTATTAAAATGAATGCCACCTTTACTCCACATTACTAGTGTTTCTATGAACTAAACTAAACTGAACTTTTGGCCAAGTTCAAGTTCAGTTCAAAATTGAACTGAACTTGAACTTGAACTTTTTTT